TATTATATCCTGCTCTCAACCTGCCTCGAACCGGACACGGACGAGAAGCCGTTGCCTATACAGGGTCTGCCATATTAACCATGTCTTGTTAGTTAACAATTTTATTATTGGCTCGTTTTTCAGGTATAAGGATATCCTTCCTATTCTTATGTGATCGGCACTAGTTTAGATATAGTTGTGCGCAGTGCGCATCTGCGTACGTCGGTATGTCGTCACGCAATTTCTATACTAGGCTGGCTGACTATAAGGTCAGGAGTTATAGAACGGCCCTGTCAAAATTTTCGTGCCGATTAAGGTCGTTTTAGAGGAACTATATTCGGCTTAGGGGTGAATCAAGAGCAAGTCGGCCACGTAGGGTGTTTGGCTTCTATTTAACAGCCTCTTTTGGAAGTCAATTGCCCGGTAGGCCAAATCTGCGTAATATGATTAAAAAGAGCAGCTGGTCAAGCTTCGTCATGATGCCCCTGGTCAAACGCTGATGACGCTATCGCACGATGGGTGTTGAAAATGTGCCTTTATTCTTAAGATCTAAATATTCAGGTAGTCAGATTGGTCATAACTTAACAGCCTATTTTCCTTAACTTAAAGTTGACACCAAATAGTTTAAAACCAAATTCATTGATTTAATATGCAGTTGGGAATTTGGAGCCAGGTTCATACATTTCAATTAATGTTAGATTTATTAATCGCGACAACCCTGCTACCACTTAAACTATTCATTTCTAAATTGCTGCAAAGAACCATCTACCCGGCCACAACGTCACGAAAATACGTCAGCGTCTAATCAGTCAGTCTCCAGCTACAGATGGTGTGGTCAACAAGTGCCCCCATGCAGTCAACTCCGATTTTCACTTTCGACTCCTTTGCCACTAAACATCTTGGCCAGTCCCTATGAAGCTGTCTCTTATACACATCTAGATGTGTATAAGAGACAGATTTCGTTGTATCATCAGGCTTCATTATGGAGTTACATTCAAGTATAAGGATGAATTTGGTTATTTCTGAAGAACTACAAATTATACGAAGATAGATTCAGAAAATTTCCATCGAGCAATATTGAATTGGTATTAGACGATTGAATTCAGAAATGCTTCTATTCTCCATTTTTCAGCAGTTGCAAGCAGTATTTTCAGACCCGGTAAATTTTTTTGCTAGACGAATGGTTTCTTCAACCAAAGAACTGTTCAGCATTGGGCATATGTCTGCATGCTTGAGCTTATTGCTAAAGCAGAAGATAGCTTATTAACTATTTACTTTACAAGGAGCCTTTCTGTGAGCAACATATATGATTTGAGGATTTCCATAACTATCGTTTATTCCGCTATTTATTTGATTGTCTCTCCAGGAATTTAGAGTGCAGTTGATAACTTAGATCAGTGGTTCCCAAAGTGGGCGATATCGCCCCCCTATGGGCGATGGAAAGATTTTGGGGGGCGGTAAAGAAGAATAGGGTGATAGGGGGCGATAGGGGGGCGATAGAGGGGGCGGCAGTCCGAAGTCGAAGTCAGACGTTCGAACGTTTGTTTGACGATTTGTACACAACACGTGCAGCACATGACTCCAGCGATGGTTTTTTTCACCCAGATCTGTTTTAGCGTATTTTCTCATTTATGGAAAAAATTCACTATTGTGCTCGCGATGTCGGTCCGTCTGTCTGTCCGCCTGTCAGTCCGTCCGTGACTTCACGTTTTCGTCGACGAGAAAATGCGCTCTCTGTCACTCACTGCAGTGAGTACTGAGTTATATTTTTTTAACCTCTCCTGGGTTTACGTCTCCTACCAATTACCGGCCGGTCTCACGGCCAATTTCCAAATTCAATGATCAAGGAATATCTCTCAAACTAATGAACTTAACTCGATGAAACTTGGTACACGTATTCATTAGGACCTTACGGTAATTGAAAGCTCGTGAAATTTTTTTGAATTTTGCCTTCAATTGTTTTTGCCATAGTTATATGGCAATACGGGCCGAAATTCACATTGATCAAGGAATCTCTTCCAAACTACTGAACAGATTCGAACGAAATTTTGAATTTACAGTCCTAACTACCGAACGGCGATGTTTAGCTCGTGAAAATTTTTTCGATTGTGCCTTCGTTCGCGAGTTTCATTCGTGATTTAAACAGCAATTCGTGCTTAAATTCGCGCTAATCAAGAAATTTCTTCCAAACTACTGAACAGATTTGAACGAAATTTAGTATTTTAATACCAAACCTCAGCAACGGTGATGTTTAGCTCGTTACAATTTTTTCGTTTAGCCTTCGTTTGCGAGTTATACGGCTATACGTAAACGGCTCTTGGTTAAACCAGCCGGTAGAAAAGCCGGTCGTTCCTCCTGCCTATATCTGTTTAACTGGCGAACGAAAGCGAATAAGGAAGAGTGAAATCAAGAATAACGGTGAAATGAAATAAATCTCGAAAACGACGGTAAATCAAAAAATTATTTGAATCTAAAAAGCGCCATTTGGTAGTTATGAATGTATATTCAAAATTTCGTTCAAATCTGTTAGGTAATTTGGAAGAAATTCTTCGATCACTGCGAATTTCGGCCTGTATCGCAATATAAGTTTATAACTCACGAATGAAGGTGATATTTAAAAAATTTTCGCAAGCTAAACATCACCGTTAAGTTCTGATGAATACATGTTCCAAGTTTTATTGAGCTGCGTTCATTAGTTTTAGTGATATTACTTGATAATTGAATTTGGAGATTGGTCGTGAGACTGGCCACGAGTCCGGGCCGTAAATTTGCCCGAGACGTCCTAGGTTTCTAGTGCTGAAACAGTTAAAACAGCTGAAAAACATTGGTTCACTAAAATGGGTTCTATTTCTGAAATACACATTCGTGTTTAACCTATATCTTTTAAAATTGCAGCGTCCTAAATTTTATAGAAAGAGGCGCATGATTTTATATGTGTCTGTGGGGGGCGCTAGAAATTCACTAGGGAGCCAAAGGGGGCGCCAGCCTGAAAAAGTTTGGGAACCACTGACTTAGATGCTTGTAAAGAACTACATGTGAAAGTCAATGCCAACTGTCATTGCCGCAGCCGACGATGGATGCAGAAAGATCCTCACTTGCTATGAACTGTGAATAACTGTAAGCTGCAATCAAGTTAGTGCCGTATCTAGATTTTGTTAAGATTAACATGTGCTACTCCGTTCTATTGTGTGATCTTTCGTCAATAAACGCAGAAATTCGAGGCCCTTGCAGAACTGTTTGCTCTATAGAAATTTAATGTGACGAAAGTTACATGAAATGAAACGGCAAATATAATTCAACGATTATTTTAAAAACAACGTTGTTCGTTCAGTAGGATACATGGATTTAGTAGGAGAAATTGGCTTGACTTGCATTACCTCGAATCAGGGATACCTGTTGATGTATCGATTGAATTTTTTTATTTGCGATTATTGCCCTCATTTCTAACCACGCCATGTCATAAAATTTACTAGCTGCAAACGTCTTTGCATGAAATTGAGCCTCTGGTAGACTGCTCTGATCTTAAAACTGAGCGAGTAGTGCAATATAGACTGCATATATATATATATAACGTACAGAGATGGAAATGCCCCCTCCCTTCCCCTCATAAGGGGGGGGGGAAGGGAGGGGGCAGTTTTTTAAAGCATTTTTCATATTCGGCCGTGTCTGTCCCGAACGTATCAGGTACCAAATACGCGCGCCCCACGATCGCCCCAAGCTCGACGAGTAATTTCACAAGATTCCATTTCGGCGCTTATTTCGCTACGGCAACCGGAACCTAAAGCGGACATAGAGCTTCTAATTTACCACGCCATAAAAACTTGGGGCGTCCGTGTGCCAGCGGCTGACAGGTCTTCGAATTTCGATAGGGGGGGAACATACCTGCACATCCTGCTCATTCTGTTGTACGTGTTCATGCCGAGCAGTGCAACACCTCTGCATCTGATAGTGATTTCGAAGTTTTAACCCTTCTATTCAAACAGCCTTGTCTGAATGCCGCTTTTAGCTCCTTTCCTCTTTAAATAGTAAATATATGGGCCCGTTCACTAGCGTTCGTTTCATGTCTTATTTATTTGTTTTCTTTTTACAACCTGACAGTTGATTTTACTATATTAATTGATTGTGTTTGTATTTCTAGGACTAAACTTCTTCTGAACTGAAGTTTGTGTTATGAATAGACGATAGAGCTGGACTACGAAGCGTTTTCTGTTATAAAGAAATGGTGAATTTTTGTGGTATTGTCTTTGCTTTTAAATTCCTGGTCACTTCTGTTACATTTAGTGGTTTGCCGAGGGCACAAGAAGTGCAAAGCTGATGACACAACATATCAAAACTGTGGTTCCAAAAACCTGTTGAAAAGAGTGAGGCGGACACCATATGACTCTTACACCATATATCTCCATTTCAGGATACATAAACTGAATGGTTCATATTATCTTATTAGTTACACATATTCTGCCCGCAACATTGATACGCCCTTTTGTCGGACCAAACTAGGCTTGAATAACCCAGATATGAGTAAAAAGTAAATTGCATTTGTACAAAGCCTAAATTTTTTCTCTGAGTGTAGAATATGAAAGCCCCCTGAGGCGCCTACACGAACCGAATGTTGCTCGCGTGCAAAATTTTTGTGACCCATAAAAAGATTGCAAAATATTTTCCTTTGTTAATATTCATCTAATGAAAAAATCCTGACGGATTATTCTCATATTTTAATTTAGCATATATTGATTTATTGACGCTACTTACTGACAATTAAAGCCAAACTTATGTGTTTTTTCTGCTGGTGGTATTGATCAGTAATCAATTTAAATCCACTTTTGTAGCCAATCCTTATAAAAATGAACAGTTGTAAGAGTCTTGTAATGAAAAAGTAGGTTATGCGTCCTAGTACTACCACGGAGAAGTTGTAGTATAAAATATTTTCTGGCGGAAATAGTTACCGGATTCTAAAATGTATTGAATTTAGTTAAAAGTTTTTTTAATAAATATAGGGAATAACTCCTCTAACTCTCACTTACTTTTAAAGCAAGGGTAGCCAGCTGAGCCGTGTTGTAGGGGATATTTCTGTTAATGAAGGCGGTTGCGTGATCTATTGATGCCTTTTCATGATCCTTCACAGACCTGAGGCCTAGAAGCTCATCGGAGAAGCCCAGGTACTGCGAGTACCAGGAGTACCATGGAAGCGTTGAAACAAACGCTAACGCTTTCTTCTTAATCAGCATCGTCTGTAGGTGGCAATAAAATAATCCGTTCACTTTATGCAAATTATCTGTACAATACCATCATCTTTACACTATCACGTTACTATTGCATTGGAATCACAGTTCCAGTTAAATTTGAATAGAGAGCAATAACAATAAATAAGTAACAATAAATTATCATGCGATTACCAGCTCAAATAAGTATTTTCTCATAATCATACGCCTATTGCGTTATCATTATGTTACCATGATATGGTAATAACACTCCCTTAAATTACCAGTACCTACTGATGATTATCGTAATATTGCCATTATCTTCTCAGCAGTCAATCACGTTGAATCAACATCGAAACAACAAAATACACGATGTTGAAATAACGTTGAATATTGATTTATAATGAAAATTGAATCAACGTCATTTTTTTCAACGTCGTACATTTCGACGTTGTTTCAAAGTTGAAGTCGCGTAAAACTCTGACTTTAAAATTGCATATATATATACATATGTTTGCGATTTTGCTGTCAGATGTCAACGCGAATTCAACGTTGAAACAACTTCGAAATGCACAATGATGAAAAAATGACGTTGATTCAATTTTCATTCTAAACTAATATTCAACGTATATTCAACCTGGCATTGCCTGCTGGGTTAATTCTTTGTAGTCACTGGATCACGATCATATAGGAGCTTGAGGGAATATGAAGGACTGCCCAGAAAACTTTGTTTTATTAACTGACCGATCATTCCGAAATTTCATACACACATGCAAAACAACAATATAAGCAGCTTTTTTCGTATATATTTTTTGGGGAACTGAAAAAAACGAGATATATAAAGAAAATGGGAAAAATGGTATTTTCAAAAATCTCCTCTTTTTATTTACATGGTACAAAATCGACGGACATATCATTCGATTCACAATACAAATATTTAGCTACTCTAGATGCTTTTTTTCATTTTTAGAGTATTTTTCAGTTCTTCCTCCCTCGCCAATTCATGATCGAACACTAAATAAATCGGAAAATAGAGTAGCATAATATTCCATTTACGAATCAAATGATATGTTGCTCGATGTTTTAGCTCCAAAACGAAAGCAGAAGATAACTTTTTAAGACGGTGTGAACTAGAAATTTCAATTTTTCAGGAGAAGAAAATTACTAAAACGGGTTCAGAGTAAACTGAAGGCTAAAAAATTGTTTGATATTTATCTTCGGCTTTCCCATCACCTGCTAGTCATATTGAGGGTACCACATGTACGACTTAGTGTTGTAAATTTAACGCGGATAATAATTATGTGTATGGTATTTTTTCATTCAAAAAATTCGGATCTTGTTTAAAGAATAAGCACTCCATTATGACCTTGTAAAGAAAACTCACCCTAGTATATAATTTTTAATAAAACGCACCGCAGTATAAACTTTGGTGAATAACTTTTTTAATCTTCACTTTCAGGAACGCACCCCAGTATAAATCTTTGGGAATGACTTTTTTAATCCTCACTTTCAGGAACGCACCCCAGTATAAATCTTTGGGAATGACTTTTTTAGTCCTCACTTTCAGGAACGCGCCCCAGTATAAATCTTTGGGGAATGACTTTTTTAATCCTCACTTTCAGGAACGCACCCCAGTATAAATCTTTGTGGAATAACTCTTTTGATGCTTTTTGTGATCATATTGCGGCACATGAGTTTGACTGAGAGTCTGAGATGTTCAGCTTATTATTTGGGATTTAATGTTTTGCAACGTACTTTCTTACATTGAATTGTAATTCTTAAAAATGTTTAAATGGGCCTAATTTGTTTGTATTATTCATTCAATTAATCTGGTTAAGAATACGCACCTAAGTAATGTTTTTGTTAAGAATACGCACCCCAGTAACGTCTGGGGTGCTTATTCATAACAAGATCCGATATTTCTCTAACGATGTTCATTTTTAACCTGTTGAAACGACATAACGCACAAATTAGATCACGCACATACATACGGTCTGCTGTCTTAGGCGGGGTAACTTTAGAAACCTGGCTTAAGATTGACAGTTTCTCCCGCCTTCCCTTCCTCGGCACTTCAAACTCTGATAGCTATCGGCACTGGGATTTATCGCGAGCGTTTTCAAATCAATTATGTATCACATTAAAATCATTTATGAAAACGTCTTAACATTGAATTATCATCAAAATAATACGTTACGCACTTTTGCCCTAGCGGTGATGCCGGCCGTGTATTGGATGGTCCACGTGAAATCTCTGACTTCATTGAGATCATCGAGGTCCATGGAGTAGTTTGACAGTACACTTTTGAGCATCAGACCTGGTCCCAATGCTAGACGCTTCATTCCTGCAAGACAAGATAGGTAGCAATCGAAGGCTATATGTTGCGGGCAGTAAGTTCTCAGGATCCAATATATACTCGTCCTGCCTAATCGGTCAATATCACAACTGAAAAATAGCCGCAGTTGTACTTTTCGGTCCTGATTGTCATAAACACTCATTGCTGCGGTCAAACGCGCAAGTAACTTTGTTGCAGGGCTCTCAGTCTGACTGTACCCTAGCTGCCAATACACTGGTTTCTGCGTGTAGCCACGCTTTTGCGGCACTGGTCACTGAGGAGTATTCGATCACTGCGCATTCATCTTTCGGGTCGTTATCCAGAAGTTGTACTTAAATTTAGAACCAACAAAAGTATCTCATGTATCTCCTCTACTCATAAACTTGCATAATTTTTTTATTATAGCTCAATTCTGCAGAATAATTCGTGGATGAAATTGTTTGTCGGTTCTTAATTAATGGCATAAAAGGGCCGGTTAACCGTGCTTGTTTACAATTCGTCATACTGTATATGATACAATTCCCCGGAGGCTGATTCTTATTTACCTGGTATGTCGTAGATTAGATACTCATTGAATAAGTGGTATAAGTACTCACCAAGGTACTTGATTTGCTCAGTAGTGAAGGGCTGCGTATAGTTAAGAAAACTTTGCATGGCTGCCTCCAGCACCTAGGACGATAACGTATTTTCAGAAAATCGTTCCAAAGATTTAGACTCTTTCATGGAGTTTTATTTTCACGCTATGTTTTTTATTAAAAAATTTATTTTAAAGTTTTAAAAATTTGAATGTAAAATATTTACATTTTTATTCATTTCTAAGCTGTGAGGTTATCGCTTGAAACGATCAAGATTTAGATTGGCCTAAACAGGCGCTGAAATTAAGAGAGATATGCTACAGATCACGCAAAGACATACTGCGAGATAAACCGAAAACATGAAGCAAGAATCCTGCTACAAATGAAAAAAATGTCATGGAAATTGTAATCGTATTGAGATTAGAAACTCATGCTTCAGGACGCAAAAACAATCCTACCAGAGCATCGATAGATACAAATGGTAGTGCAGTTTTGATGAAGCCGTCGGTTTCGTTGCGGATGCGTCTGTTGTCGGCGTCGAGCACCTCATTGGGCAGGTCGGTGGCGTACACGAACTGCATGAGGCCTGCAGTGCGCAGTAGGTTGATCACGCTCTTGATCTGCCAGTTATAGAAGTATAAATCGTTATCACCTTATTAAAACATATCAGAACAAATGTCGGATCATCATCAGCCTATATGCAGGATACAGTTTGCACGACACCGATGAGGTAATTAATGCCTAAATTATTCAAACAAACAAATAAAAATTTCTGTTAATGATAGAAATACTTGAACGAAAGTAAAAATTCTTGCGTTACTCGCTGTTTTTTTAATTATAATGCAGTGCGTATGAAAGCCCATGATCCATACGAGGCAATAATGACATACCTTTTCCATTTCTGACCACGAGACAGGCGATGGTGAGGAGGCGTCGCTGCGCCGAACGTTCTCGGCCTCAAATAACTTCACGACGAAGTAGCGCCCCAACGCCGTCAGTTTGGACGGATTGCCGCTCAGCATCTGCGTTGATGCCATCCAATGTTACCAACTAAAAATATCAGTTCATATTCGTTGTATTTGTCCGATTTTGTTATAAATACCCTATCTCGTGTAACGTTGCTTTAAGCCGTGTTTTTGCATGATGAAAAGTGCAAAAATGTTTACATCACGGCATTATAGTATTTTTTCATGAAGGTGTAAAATTGGTTCTGTTGAAGTATACATAGGCTTGTCTCATGTCACTCATCCCAAACAAACACACAGTAAGGATCTCATCCTCGCGGGTCAAGAGGACGTCAGGACGCAGTCGCAGGAAGACAGCGTCGGGCAGGATGCTGAGGTTGGTCATCTTGGCGAAGGTGTCGCGGTCCCAGTTGCTGGGGTCGCCGTAGGTCTTCTCGATGAGCCACGCCCGCAGCGACAGCATGTACTGGGCGCGCGGTGTTGTCCCCTCGCCCCTAGACTCGGCCTGACTCGGGCACGAGGCTGACTTGTTGCTAGTGTTGTCCTTATTGTTGTTTTCCATGCAAAGAATCACTTCATTGAACCTGTGAGGCAAGATATTAGGGTTCATTTCTGGTGCCAGCTATGACAGCTACGAAACGTTAACGGGACAAGAATTTAAATTCTTTAAATTACAAAGGACTTGATTATCCATAATCCGCTCTAACGCTTCCACATAAGAAATTGATTAGCGACAGTATGAATGATGTTACTGTTCTCTTCCATACTTCGGCCCTGCATCCGAAACTAAGTCAATTAAGGGAGCTAAAACCTTTGTTCTCAAAGTACTTTCCATACCTTAATTAATCTTCTATTTTATTGGTGAACAATTTTAAAATCGGTTCTTTTTAGGTGCAAAAAAATCATCCCCCATTTATATGCGATCATCCCTTGTTTATAAATACAGCTGTGCATTATGTGCATCTGCGTACGTCGGGATGACGCCTCACAAGCTTTATTCCAGGGTCGCAGAACATAGGGGAGAAGTTGTAGAACTGGTCACTTACTATCGCTCCCGTATTCGGCTGTGCGCGCTCACGCCGAGCAGCGCGATTTTACAATTTTTTTATAGGGACTTCAAAGTTTTAGCTTCTACTTCTGGTGTTTTTGATTTGCGCATTTTAGAGTTATTGTATTTTTAAAAAGAGGCCAAGTTTAAATTCAGCTTTAGCTCTTACCCACTAGAAATTTCAAATAGATAAATTTAAATGTTTAGGTTTTTTGTAATCTTGATTGTACTAATTAATGATTTACTTGTGTTCTAGAATTTCCGAACTGACGATGGAGCTGGACTCCGAAACATTTTTTATAAAATAGAATGAATTTTGTGGAGTTTTCTTGGCTTATAAGATTTTAGTGAATATGCGATTCAAGTAAACGAGGGTTAACTTTCATTTTAACCTATTTAAATGAAATAAATCTCTTGCATGCTTTAATGTCACGAATCGACTCAACGATAAATACCACACCAAATGCTGCAGAAATTAGGAAATATTCAAAGCGATTCGGGAAAAACATCATGGAGCTGATATGCGAAACTTCTCTTATTGCTGCGTTAATGTGTTCGATAAAAGACAAATCATGGAAATTTTCAAGAAGGCTGTTTCAACGAATGAAAATAATATGGAATAAATTACTCTATGAATTTACCGGCATTATTTCATTACATTCAAATGACGGTTTTGGATGGAATCAAATCAAGATAAAACCTGTTCACTATTTTCAAACCAAATAAAATGATAAAGGAAACAAACAAGAACGTCGTTTCGCTTGAGCAATAACCTTTGATTTTATCGTCGAGAAATTGCGGGTAAGGCATAGCTCTCGTGTATTCATAAGGCAATGATATTGACTTCAAAAATCAGTATCATTAAAAATTGTATAATCAAATATTTTTGAATAGCAGCTGTAATCATTTATAAAATATAATTAAATTTCACTAAATCTATGCCGTTTAACTCTAAATTTGGTAATTTCCAACATTTCTAGACGATGGTAAATCCGGGGTTCGCACGTAGAGACCAGGGGCCATACTTTCAAAATTCGTTAAGTGAACGTAAGTACTTACGCTCTATTTTCTTGTATATGATTGGTGGATTTTGCTTGAAAGGCCGGCAATGATTGGCTGATGAACTTATAATCTCTTGACTTTTTTTTTGAAATTATGGGCCCTGGATCGAGATTTCAACTGGGATCTGGTAACATCGTATTGAAAGTATAATTGAGGATTTGTTTTCAAAGCACTCACAGCTTGGCAATGGCGCGCTTGTCTCGAAGATTGGTGAAGGTGGTCAGGGGCAGGTAAAAGAGGATGGGTTTTAGGCTTGTGATATTCTCCTCCATCCACTCCGAGGAATACCCCAGCCCATCCAAGAGTAGAACCACTTCCGTCCTCGACGCCTGGTCATGCAACGAATGATAATTTTCAGGCATAGGGAGTAAAACACAATGATTCCAGGAATAAATAAGTGAAACCATGCTTTTCGTTAGCCAGTTCGGCTGGAAGTGTGGAACTTTCCGGTTTATGTTAAACTGTGCAGCTTTTGAGATTCAGCCAATAAAATGAATGAAAAAGTTAAAAAGCTAGCAAAAAACTAATAATTAGGCCTTCGGTAGCAAAATATCGTAATTTTTCCTTAATCAGTTTTAGGTTGCCGCTAGCAGAGAGACGGTTGCACCGCATGAAAAACATGTTTTCATTTATAAACAGAACACGAATGGAAAATTACATGGGAATGATGTGTAAAAAAATATGTGAAACTTATACTTAATGTTGTACTTCTTATATGGAAAAAAAGATCTAGCCTGCATGAAATTCATTTAATTTTGGCAATGAATTCTGGTTACAGGGGTGCATTTTCATTATTTGTAATGTTCCATCCCGAATAAAGTCATAGTTAGCGACGAAATTATTCGTACACCCCTCTCTTTTGAATGTTTTCTTTGAAAACACGAAAATTATTGAATGTTAGAGCAAAGATTTAATTGAACTAAGCAGCATGTAATGGGGAAAATAACACTATATTTTCAGAACAAAATGTCATTTCAAAACGTTACAACATGCACAAATTCCCAAACACATTTAGACAGTTATTGGTACAGTTTTGAAATACTAACATAAATGCAATAAAAATAATCAATGGCATGTCCCTTCATATTGATAAACTCCAACCATCTTTGCTGTAGTTCTTGATAAAATTCGCAGTGGTATTCGGTTTGATATCATCACATTCTTCGATTGTGACTTGTTTCAATTCCTGGTAATTCTTGGGAGTCCAATTATTGCTTCTGAATTTCAAGTCTTGTCATAAATTCACAATCGGGTTCAAGTTGCAACCATTAGTTGGTCATGGAACACCAATCACCTTTGTTTTATTAAGCCAAGGGGTAGTAGCTTTCGCATCATTATCTTGCTGAAAGATCCATCG